TTGGTTGTTCCTTTTGATCTTCCCAGCCTCTAAAGTAAAAATATTTCCGGGTTCTGTCCCTAGATTTTTCTTCTTGACCAATATTTTCTCCCTTGATCTCAGCCAGTCTCATGATTTCAACTACCATTTTTATGCACATGGTTCCCAAATTTACATCTATAGCCTAGATTGCTCTCTTGAACCTCAGACTTTTATACACAAGAGCTTACTTAACACTGCGCTCAAATATCTAATAAGCATCTTAAATTTGGCATACCTTGTTTAACTAAGTACCTGGTCGTCATTGAACCTGCCCTCTCCACAACCTCTTCTAGTGTTCAGATTAAACATCCTGATAAACTCTTTCTCTCACATCCTACATATGATCTGTTGGCAAATTTTATTTATATCACCTTCAAAATACAACAGAACTGAATACATCTAATAACTCCACTGCTCTAAGCTACTATCACCTCTCCAAAGGTTATTATTATTAATAATATTCTTGCAATAGTCCTATAATAGGTTTCCCTGCTCTGTCACTCCTATACTTTATGGCAGTCAAATTATATCACTCTTGTCTTCAGAAACTTTCTTTGGTGTCCCTTCTCACTTAAAATAAAAGCCAAAGTCCTTAAAATGAAATGTAAGGCCCCCTATGACATGGCTCTTGGTTACCTTTATAATCTCGTCACTAGCTACTGCCCCACTTGCTCAGACATGTGTGGTACACTCCTGCTTGTGGCGTTGTACTTACTCCCATTGCTTAGGGGAAGTGCATGGCTCACTCACCTTCTTTAAGTTTTTGTTCAGATATCTCCTCAGTGAGGCTCTTGCTTCACTACTTAAACTACAGCCACACCACCAACCACAATCACCATAATATCACTGACAGTTACATAACACACACACATAGGCTCACTCACTACTTTCCCTTTGTGTCTTATTTTTTATCTTCAGCAATTATAATAAATATCATAAACTTATTATGTTATTATGTTACAGCGCTGTGGAAGTATAAGACCACTGATGTTTTAAGGGCATTTGATGTATCAGACAAAGTAGTATGACCCAGGGTAGGAAGCACATGATAAGACATTAAGTTGGGTAAAATTAATTCAAATGGTGATAAGTCACATTACTGCTGAAAACTACGTGCAATGCTGCAACATTGATCAAAATTCTACATTTTTTGTTAATTATAAAAAGGGGGTTAAATACGAACGATCACTTATATCATCATTTTTCACTTCATACATCCAACCAAGTAATAAAGTTTAGTGTAATTTTCATCAGAGTAAAGTTATAGAACATGTCTCCATCATTTAAAAATTAAAGACTAGTAAGATATGTAAAGTAGTTAATAATATCCCATATAAATTTTTGAAAATATAATAAAATTCAAATAGAGAAAAACCAATAATATAGCTATTGACATGACATGACTTTACGTTAATAAAAATATTTGAAAATGTAATGATATATAAACTATATATATTTATAAAATATTAAATTACCTTTGTTTCTTTGGAGTTCATTTTTCAAATCTTCAATAATAAAAGTACTTTTTTCCATTTCTTTTGTATATTGTTCTACTTGCTCAGTAAGCATCTTAATATGACTGTCTCGTTCTTGTATACCCTATAAAATATTTTTTAATATTACATATTATCTTTTCATGAATATTAACATACATTTTCAGAGTAAGAAAAAACATAGGTCTTATTTTTTAACAGAACTGTAGAATATATTTTTTGTGGTCAAAAGTGTGTCTTTTACTATTTTATATATTTCCAGTGCACCATACAATGCTAAGTATACTGCTGTCACTCTAACACTTAAACACAATTTAATAGTTAACACTCCAGCAAATAGGAATTCTAGAACTCTAATATTCGTGGCTTCTTAGGACCCTTTTTATGTTATTTTTCCTCATCATGCATCCAATTCCATCTTTTTACCATTCTGTATGTTTGTGTTTAGCCCTGTGCAATCTCATTTACTCAACTTAGCTTTTGCCCCCACAGTACTTCATTCAAAATTATTGTTCCTTGAAATTGTTCTTATTCACCAAATGCTTCCAAAATTTCCTTATTTCTCCTTAACTATGAATATATAGCACTGATAATGAAAGTGTAATTCCTTTCTATATATTTGTACTAAAAATGAAACTCTTACGTACTACACTCAAATTATAACCACACTTTTAGCTTATTTCACAGTGTTTAGGATATTTCAGCACTAAAGGACAATACAATAAACTTTCATAACAGAGTATTAATATATTTTTATTTAAAATATATTTTATAGATTACGCTATTATAGTTGTCCCATTTTTCCCCCTTTAGTCCCTTCCACCCTGTACCCAACCTCCCACCAGCATTCACCCTACTCCTTAGTCCATGTCCACGGGTGGTACCTGTAAGTTCTTTGGCTTCTCCATTTCCTATGCTATTAACATCCTTCTGTCTATTTTGTACCTATCATTTACGCTTTTTATTCCTTGTACCTTTCCCTCATTCTCTCCCTCCCCCTCCTTGCTGGTAACCCTCCAAGTGATCTCCATTTCTGTGATTCTGTTTGTGTTCTAGTTGTCTGCTTACTTTGTTTTTATTTTTTGTATGTTGTTGATAGTTGTGAGTTTGTTGTCATTTTACTGTTCATAGTTTTGGTCTTCCTTTTCTTAGATAAGTTCCTTTAACATTTCACACAAGAAGGGCCTGGTGATGATGAACTCCTTTAACTTGACCTTATGTGGGAAGCACTTTATCTGCCCTTCCATTCTAAATGATAGTTTTGCTGGGTAGAGTAATCTTAGATGTAGGTCCTTGCCTTTCATGACTTAAAATACTTCTTTCCGTCCCTTCTTGCCTGTAAGGTTTCTTTTGAGAACTCAACTGATAGTCTTACGGGAACTTCTTTGTAGGTAATTGTCTCCTTTACTCTTGTTGCTTTTAAGATTCTCTCCTTGTCTTTAACCTTGGGTAATGTAATTATGATGTGCCTTGGTGTGTGCTTCCTTGGGTCCAACTTCTTCGGGACTCTCTGAGCTTCCTGGATCTTCTAGAAGTCTATTTTCTTTGCCAGGTTGGGGGAGTTCTCCTTCATTATTTGTTCAAATAAGTTTTCAATTTCTTGCTCTTCCTCTTTCTCCCCTGGGCACCCCTATGATTCAGATGTTGGAATGTTTAAAGTTGTCCCAGAGGTTCCTAAGCCTCTCCTCATTTTTTAGAACTCTTATTTCTTAATTCTGTTCTGGTTGAACGTTTATTTCTTCCTTCTGCTCCAAATCGTTGATTTGAGTCCTAGTTTGCTTCCCTTCACTGTTGGTTCCCTGCATGCTTTTTTTTTTAATTCGCTTTGCATAGCCTTCACTTTTTCCTCTATTTTGCGACTATACTAAATCATTTCTGTGAGCATCCTGATTACCAGTATTTTGAACTCTGCATCTGATAGGCTGGCTATTTTTTGTTACCTAGTTCTTTTTTTGGAGCTTTGATCTGTTCTTTCATTTGGGCCATATTTCTTTGTCTTGGCATTCCTGTTCCATTGTAAGGGGCACAGCCTTAGATACTCACCAGGGTGGGGCAAACCAGACCCCTACATTGTGCAGTTGTGTGTGTGTGTGTGTGTGTGTGTGTGTGTGTGTGTGTGTGTGTGTGTGGTGGGGAGGATGGTCAGAGAGCAAGCAATGCTGCTTGCTGAGCTCTCAGTGGGCTTTCAGTCACTTCCCCCGCTACCCACAAGCAAATTGGGCCCTTCTGGTGCTGATTCCTAGGTGGGTGGGTTTGTGTACATTCTAAGACGCTGAGGATCTCTCCAGAGAACACTCCTGTGAGGCTGGGAGTTTCTCCCACTGCCGCAACCCCCACAGATTTTTACAGCCAAAGGTTTTGAGACTTTTTTTCCCCATGCTAGAACCCTGGGCTGTGCAATCTGTCTCACTCCCCAGCTGTTCCTCCCAGTTTATCCCCACGCAAATGCGGGGCCACCAGCCATCATCTTGCCTGCCCACTCCTCTAACAGCCGCCTTGCTACACATCCTCTCCACCCTGGCAGCCCATCTCCGCCCTTCCTACAGGTCTGGATGAATGCTTCTTCTTTAACTCTTTGGTTGTCAGACTTCCATACAGTTTGATTTTCTTGTAGTTCTGGTTGTTATTTGTCTTTAAATTTGTTGTTGCCCAACTTTTCGTTGTGCAAGGAGGCAAAGTATATCTACCTATGCTTCTATCTTGGCCAGAAGATATTTTTAAATTTCTAAAAGTTTTCAATAGTTTAATCTTATTCGCAACTCGAAATTTAGTTCTATTTCTTTTGTGTGTGTGAGGCTGGATAGTTTAAGAAACTTCAAGAGACTTTATTATATATCCAAGAGTGCAAGTCACTAGATTAGGCACAGGTGATACAATAAATAAGACATAGTGTAAGGTTTCATTGCCAACATTAATAAAACTGGTTCGTAAACCAAATTTTGAGAAGGTCTTACCTGTTGTAGAGCCATAACATTACTTTTATCAGCATCAAGCTGGGCATTTTTCAATTTCTCCCTCAGGTTATGTAACATTTGCTGATATTCAATAATTTCATCATCTTTAGATGACAAGATTAACTAGAAATAAACAAAACAGAATCTGTTACATGAGGAAAATTAATAATCCAGTCCTTGTTTATGATAAATATTTTAATAAGTACCATTGAGGAATTTCAAAAACAATACAGGAAATAAAATTCTTTGAAGTGAGAAAGTACTGGCAACTATTGAATAATCACTGTTCCTTTTGTGTGTACAATCTGAAGTTCAAATAAGAAATAATTCAAAAACCAACAATGTAATTTCTGCCCTCTAGGAACTGAATCTCCAAACAATCTCAAGTTTTCAAAACCTATTCCTAAAACAGTAAGTTATTAATACCTCCATGTAATTACAAAAAGTTTTATACAACCCAACTTTATGAAGAAAACATTAAAATACCACCAAGAAGCATACAATATCTTAAATGAATGAACAGTATCTTGTAATATTATATGAAAGGAGAGGTTAGCCCTCCCATTGACAAGGATGGAAGTGTACCTTAGGCCTGACAACACGCATAGGGTTAATGCACTGCAACCTACTTTGTGGCATCTAACTACTGCATTGTAATACTGTATTGCATATTTCAAAGTAGCTATGAGTGGCTCTTGAAAGTTCTTATCACAAAAAAAAAAACACAAAAAGCTATGTATGATAACAAATACCAACTGAACTTAAATTGGTGATGATCATTTTGCTATGCATACAAATACATATGCAAATTTGCATTAAAAGTACATTTATAAGGGCCCTGGCTGGTGTGGCTCAATGAGTTGAGTGTTGGCCTGCAAAATGAAAGGTCACTGGTTCCACTCCCAGACAGGGCCCATGCCTGGGCTACCACCCAAGTCTCCAGTTGGCCAAGTCTCCGATTGGGGGCTTGTGAGAGGCAACTGAACAATGTTTCTCTTGCACACTATTGATTCTCTCCCTCTCTTTCTCCCTCCTTTCACTGCTCTCTAAAAAATAAATAAAATCTTTTTAAAAATGCATTTGTAAAGAAGAGTCTGAAAACAGAAAAATGAGAACAGCTTTTTCAAATATTTAAGCATAATAATAATTAAAACAAGTATACATGGTTAAAAAATAGATCAATCAATATAAAAAAGACAGCTCTAAAATAAATTCTAATTCAACAGGAGTTTTGTATGTAATAAAGATGGAACTATATTTCAGTAGAAGAATGATAAAATATTCAGTAAATAATGTTTGGACAATTGACTAGCTCTAGTGCATTCATATCTCATTCTTCATACCAAAATGAGTTATATACGCTTCAAAAATCTAAATGTAAAAATGAAACTAGGAGATATGATATGAAAATATGAAAAAATAACTCTATATTCAGAATCCTTTCTATTATGATACAAAAGCCAAAAATCACTTAGAAATATAATAAATTTAACTAAATAATATATAAAAAAAACTTCACATCAAAAAATATCATAAAGCCAAAAGACAAATGACAAGCTGAAAGATTATATTTGCAATATATATTGCAATTATACTTGTAACAATTTATTCTACAGATATACATTTTCAAAATAATGAATATACAAAGATATTCATGAAAACATTGTTTCTAGCAGCAAAAAATGGAAACTTCTTAAACATCACACAATAGGGAATGAATTAAATAAGTAATGTATCTACAATGCTTTTTAAAAGATATTTAGCAAAAACAAAGTACAAAAAAAATATGTCCTACCATCTCTTCTCCCAAAATTAAATATGGTAAGAACAAATTTTTTTCCAGGGGTTGGTAAGCTATGGCTTATAGGTCAAATTTGGTCTGCTACCTGTTTTTGTAAAGCTTTGCTGGAAAAGAATCTTGCTCATTCATTTATGTATTTTCTATGATTACTTCCACGCTGTAATAGTAGAGTTGAGTAATTATACCCAAGACAACATGGTCTAAAATATTTACTCCCTGGCTTCTTATAGAAAGTTTACTGACCTCTAATTGATTCTGTAAGTCTCATTTCCAGTGCTACTGCCTTTGTTTAAAATATAGGTTATCTGAGCTTCCCAGATGATAACCAACTCCAAATAACCAGTAAGATTTATGTGAACCCTGTTAGAAACACTGACTAGAGAGGTGATAGCTTTTATAACTAAAATTACTTAACACAGAATAATTTCAGACATTTTTCAAAATATGCAACCATTACAATCCTAGCTTCTGATATGGTAAGGCTGGGGACATGGCTGTGGTTGGAGAATGGAGAGGAAGAAAAGACTTTTGAAAAGACATCTCAATTAATTCTGAAAGATCCCTTTCTTTATTCCCATTGCCACTGAATATCAAAAGCTTGATTAATCTGACATGAAAGGAGAGTGAGAAAAACTGACTCTAAACTCAAATTTAACCCGAACTACATAATTAATGTATACAAGGTAATTATGATTTATGTAAAAATATTTATATTTATTTAGAATTATCTATTTTAAATGACAAATACATTATATTTTAAACTTAGATTTCTATCAGAAAGTTTAGTTTCAAGTTTAACTCATTGACATGAAAGAGCTCATTCAATAACAAATAAGCTAGAGGACTATGCAGAATAGTTTTTAAAGAGTTTTCCTAGCTAGAACATTTAATACACTTTTCTAAATGTCTAATAAAAATGTCATTAACTATTACAAGGCCTTTAAAGAAAACTAAGACTAAAACATTAAAATCTAAATAGCAAATGAAAAAGCCATTATATCAATTGAATAAGGCACCTTCCATTCTTCTACTTTTGCATTGACAGCTACCATGATTGGATCATCTTCTTCATTTTTTGCTTTTAGAAGATCTGTAAGTTCCTTCACCTAAAAGGCAACAATTATTTCAAGAATTGTTGCAAATTAGTGCAATATATATATAGTATATATAAATATTTATAAATACATTACACACAATAAGAATATATATACATATATACACATACATAACAAGTATATATGTGTTATTGAAGCAGTTCTGTAGTTATAGGTGATACTTAATGGTTTCTGCATCTTTACAGGTGTATAATTATTTTTCATTACTAGAGGATTATATTTTTAAGCACTATTATATATTCTTAAATAAGTTTAACCCCATGTAAGCATGAACAATATATTGGTTTCTTTGATGCTTATAGTACATTAAGGTGAAAAATTAAACTTTATGCTCCATGGGACTCCCAAGAGTCTGTGGTAGAAAATTCCCATAATTATTACTTTTGCATGACTACTAGCTACACATTCATTCAGGTATCATCTATATACCCTACATGGCAAGAATTATAAGGTATGTTTCATGGAATTAGAAAAAACAGATATAAAGTAATATATTAGCCGGCAAGATGTTACAGTATAAAATGACATAGTACAGCATATCACAAAAATTCATATTCTAGAAAGATAAAGTATTATCTAGTTTCAAATAATTAGTAATGAGGCAATATGAGGTCTGTGAAAATAAGTTAGTTCAACAGAAATTCTTACTTGAAGCCGATAATGATCATTTTCTTTTTTTAATTGGTCCATTATATTATCTGTCTGATGCACAATAGCTTTCATTCTATTATATTCATCAGTCATCTTCTCCATTTCCTGTACAGACTCTTCTAGATTTTTTCTCATTTCTTGGTTCTGAACTTCAATTTTTTCATTAGCTTCTGTTAAAGTCTAAGAAAGTTAAAGACACCATGGTTAAAAAAAAATTTAAGAAACTGAAATTTAAATTGAAATTAAGTGGAGTCATAAGTATCTGTTAGAGAAAAGAGAATTCTTTACAGATCTTTAGTATCAACTGCTGTTGTCATGATACACCAAAGTTGGGGTTTGATCCCTGGTCAGGGCATATACAAGAATAAACCAATGACTGCATAAATAAATGGAACAACAAATCAATGTCCGCCCCCCAGCAATAAATAAAAATGTTTAAGAAAGTAAATATCAGGAAAGCTTTACCTAAGGATCTTAGTTCTTCTTAAACAATGCCCAAGAGGCACATAAAAAGAGTAAATTTGTAAGAAGATTTGCAATTAAAGATGCAATTTATTTCATATTTTACACGTACATGGTTATAGATTTTTACTAAAGAATTTAAATGTAGGTCTAAATAGTAGGTCAAAATTAAAATACAATTCAACTTTTATAAGAATCATTGTTTTGAAGTAACTTCTATACTTTTTACCTGAATTTCATCCAGATATTGAACAAGTTCATAGTTTTTTTTAGACAACTGTGATCGATAGTCACTGTCTTCACCTCTTCTTGATAAAAGTGTTTCTTTTTGCGTATCTATTTGTTTCTGATAGTCAGTAACATCTTGACGAAGTTGTTCATTCTAAAGATAGACCAAACACAATATTCTATTTAAAAACTATCCAAAGAACAAAATTTTGGACTCTAAATAGTGATCTCAAAACACATCTTTAAAATCCCATGAGTTCACCATCCTTAGAGTCTCACCTTTTTCTTTAGACGTTTGTTCTCCAAGAAAGGACAGGAAAGGGTAATTAGAAATGAGAAAGGCAATATGTAATTAAAAATAATAATTAGAAATTAAAAAAAGAAAAACTACAGGAGGATGAGATATTATTTTAGGTAAACAAAGTAAGAATATTAATTATCAACAAAAAAATCTTGATTATGTTAAAAAGATAAGAACTATCAGGATAAACAAAGTACAAACATTATTTGGCTCAGAAGAACCAAATAATAATTTGAACTGACAAGATTTCATGAACAAAAATTTTAAAAGAATGCTGGATAAAATAAGAGAAGAGAGAAATCCAGTCATAAATTCTATTAACAAACTAGCGAAGAATAGCTAATAAAAGAGAGAGCTAGATTTATCCACATAGACCAAAGAGACGAATGTAGTTTTTAATGGTCTCACCTCTAGATTTATTTTCTGAGACAAAGTCATATCATAAAATCAGCAAGTTTGAAAACATCATTTACTTAGATGTTTCCAGTTCTGGTTACAGCATAAATTTATGAAAACATTTTTTTAAAGTATCTTTGTTAAACAACCACAACTTCTGAAATTTTTTACCAACCTCTCTTCTTAATTTGCTGTTTTCGTTTTCTGCTTCTTCATTTCGAAGAGCCAACTAGAAAAGTAAGTAAATAAACATATAAATAAAATTCAGCAGTAATTCAGTATAACACCAGGTTTTCACCTAATCGATTTAAATTTTAAATCTTCTGCAATAAAGTAGAGAATATTTAATTACTAAGGATTTCATGTTGACCTTAGACATGAATAATAAGACAAAAATTTTGAAAACTAAGAATTAGGAAGGATAAAACACATCGACTTTTGTTAAAAAGTATAAAAACAAAACCCGAAAAACTGTAAGCAAGTAACACAGAAAATAAAAAAATTATCCCCTTCCCCTAGCCAAATCCTAATAATGAGCAAGGTTCTGTCCAAGGTCTTTATCACTTTACAGTTGTTCTATGTCAGGACTAGAATATTGTTTACTTTCAGTGAACATTTCATTACTTATAAGTATACGGCAGTACATAATGGTTAAAAAAAATCAATCTTAAATCAGAGTGGCCAGGTTTATATACATTGTT